CCCCCCCCCCTTGACTTTGCCGGTTAACGAAGGTCGTAAAAAGGGGGTCGTGGGAGCTTAGGACACACCAGCAACGGTCCTAACTATGAACCCCAAGCATCCAAAAAAAAAAATTGGGGGGGGGTCCTGGGGATGCTGCGAAGGTCATTCCTGTGGAAAGAAGTCATGTTTTTTTTTCAGGGCCAAACTCTGGTCACTAAATGAACTGCTGTTAAGTCGAGGACTACCTGGATACCCAGAGCCTCCGCCTACACACACACACATGTATGTATGTATGTATGTATGTATGTATGTATACACACACACAAAGAGACTTATCCTCCCCCCACATCCCAATTTGCCCTTCCCCCAACCACCTTCCTTCCAGCAGACTACAACCCCCATCAGCCTCAGCCAGCGTTGCCAGGGAGACGGGACCGGAGGCGGCACTGACAAAGCCTTGGAAGGTCGCAGCTCCCACCACACCCGCCTGGAAGCGCCTCAGGAGCAGCAGCAGCGCTCGCACAAAACCACCCCACCTCCTTCTACGGAGCTCTCCGCTGAGGGAAGCCTCTTCAAAAAGCCCTTTTCCTCCCTCATCAAGCCCCCGTCCCTTTTTCCCTTGACATACACGTCCTCCGCCTCCTCTTCAACGTCATCTGCGCATGCGCCCGCGGCGGCGCCCTCCCTGGGCGGCGCCCGTTTGTTGGTGGTTATTGTAGTCTTTTCCCGCGGCCGCCAGGCTCTTGTTCCATAGAGACCAGGGAACGAGAGGCAATACAATCCCCATAATGCCTAGAGGTTTGGTGGTTGGGGGAGGGAGGGAGGGAGGGAAGGAGGTCTGGTGCATGGCGGGAGTCGTAGTCATTCATTTAAATCACGTCGGCCTTAACGCGGGAGTGGAGAATTACTGGAGCGAAAAGGAGGCGGGGAGAGAAAGAAAAGAAAAAAAAAAGAAGCGGTGCATTCTGGGAATCGCTGCGGAAGGTGACTGGGACACCGATGGATGGGAGTTGTAGTTCTCGAGTCTAGTTTGGACTAGAGGAGTTCAGTGAACGAGTAGAACAGAGAGGTTTCCAAACTTGGCAACTTTAAGACTTGTGGACTTCAACTCCCAGAATTCCTCAGCCAGCAAAGCTGGTGTAGAAAATGCTTTTCGCCACTTCGCCTACATAGGTTGCAGACTAGGGATCTCATTCGTTGCCTTTCTTCCATTGAAAAGATATAGCGCAAGAAAGTTTTATTTTTATTTATTTATTTTGATTTATCAATCGCTTACAAGATAATAGGTATAAGTATATACATAGTTATGAATACATGAAAATGGGTACATATAAGAAAAATAAAAGAAACAATAGGACAGGGACGGTAGGCACGTTGGTGCGCTTATGCACGCCCCCTACAGACCTCTTAGGAAAGGGGTGAGGTCATCCTTAATCGGGTTTATCCCACAAGTGCTTTTTTTAAAAGCAAGTAGACTTTGTTTTTTCCTTTGAAGACCTTTCACTTCTCATCCAAGAAGCTTCTTTGGTTCTTGAAGTTGCCTCTTGTAGAAGGTTAGCACCCAGCCCTCTCCTAGAAGAATGGAATATTCTAGGAAATATTAAAAAGGCAGAATATTATATTTCCCTGGATGAGAAAAGGAGAAACTTTTTTTTTTAAGGACAAAGCTTCCTGCAGCTCCCTGCTCCCCTCAGCTCCAGGGTAATGGGATTAAGACATGGCTCTCAGGACATGATAGGATTAGCCCTCTACCCATCTTACCACATGGCACCTGGGAAGATTGCATCATCCAGCAAGGCTCAACCAAGCCTGGGACTCAAGACGACTTGCAAAGTTACCCCATAGGAGTCTGAACACATTTCTTTCACAAGAACAGGAAGCAAGTTCAAAGCCCAAGAGACTGTATAACTCTCTCACCCATGTGCTCTTTTTTGCCCAGGACCTCAATGTGGTCCTGTCCACCATTAAACCATCTTTCCAAACAGCCTCCATCTTCCCAGTGTTTTTCTCCCCACTTGGAACTGAACCCAGATGGACATTTCTTCCAGCACACTTGAAAAAAAAGCACCTTTGGGACAACCATGACCTGGATGGTTGAGAATCTCCATTGACCCTTTGATCGGTTTTAATTCATCCTGCATCTTACTCATCCTGTTTTGGCTTCAGCAATAAGTCATTGCTCAGGTCATCTGATGAACAAAAGAGACGGATGCTAATTCTATCAGTCCTGGGACTCTGAAATTTGGCCGCTTATCTTTTCACTCCCTTACTGTCCCCCTTCAACCTCCTTTCTGTAAATCACAAGGAGTCAGTGAGCCCATATCATGAAGGAGGCAGTTTTATTTGTTCCTTTTCACTATAAGCCTTTCTTTCCAAAGCTCAAGGCACCAGATGTTCTCTGAAGCCACAGGGAGATCTGAGGGATATTCCGATAGGATACTCACTTTTCCTTGGGTGTAATCCTATTGCATATTAAAAAGGGATTATCTCTGACCCTTTCACTGAGAACTTGCAGAACCAGAGGGCTCAGTTTAGAACCACTTGATTACAATGTTGGTTACGTTATTTTTAGGATAGCTTTATTGTATTATGTTGTGTTAATCTAAATCAGTGAAAATAGCAACATTCAGTGGCCTGGAAATGAAATAAATCAATACTTCTCTCAGGATACATTGGCTAATTTTTATTGAAACAAAATTAAGCTGCACTTTGGAGTTTATTTCTGATGTTGATAAATTGCTTGAAATTATACGTGTGGGTTACCCACCCAGCCTATTAGTTTATCAATATTTTATGTAAAATCAGAAAAAAATTAATTCAGTAACAAGATTCGGTATGTCATGCAAACACTGCCAATGTAAGCCAAGCTGCCACAATTCTAGTTTGGTTCCTTATGCCAAGGAAGACCATTATTCTTTTCAACATTTTTATTTCTATTGTTTCTTGTTTTTGCTCTTGCTCAACATTTCAAGGAATTTTTTAAAATAAGTATACAGGGGATGTTGTGATCGATGAAAACTCAGTCATTAGTTTTCTCCAACTGGCATCTTTGCAGGGTGTGAGTAATGAGAAGTGTTTTCCAACATTTCCAGAGGTTAAGGAGTGCATTTATTCCAGAAGGGCATTTTGGACTGGCGAATGGCTTTGTTGATCCCTCTTATATATC